TTTTACATCTAAGAGATGTTTGGTGCAGTATTTATCAAGTGAATTTCATTTATTTTTTGAACAAAAACTTTACAAAATGTCTTCATAATATATGTGTGAACTGTTTCAACGGGGAATCATGCGACAGGCTTAAACTTGACAGATTTCTTGAGTTATCATAGATTAATTCAGACTATTTTGAGGAAGTGTATACTGGCTATGTTGTTGCTACAGCTTCTCAAGAGGGACAAACAGTAATATTGCAGATTTTTTATAATATTTCAAGTGAAGGTCTTTTAGGGGAATATGCAAGGCACAGACGTTCGCTTCGCCTTGCCGAGTTCTGCTAGGAGCAACCTTTAGGATATGTTAGTTTCATGTCCTCTGTCTCCCTCTAGTGGTGTTGTTTGCGACTGCTTCTCTGAAGTTCACCATCATCATGGGAATATTGTTTTGGAGAAAAACTACATCAAGGTAGATTGAGTGAGAAGTGTGTAGGCTACTACTGATGTCTAATAAATGATACATTTACTCCCCTATGTATTTATTTGGACAGTGAAGCTAAACCTTTTAATTCGGCCCTATACTCCAGCATTTTTGATTTGAGATACAATGGCTACAGTACAAAATGTAACCTTTTATTTGAGGGTATTTTCTTTTGTATCTGTTTTACCGTAGAAATGAAAGCATTTTATGTATCTAGTCCCCATTTGAAGGTGTCATACTGTAAGTATTTGGAGAAATTACCTTATAGTATATTACATTTAGTCAAAAGTTTCGTATTTGGCCCCATATTCTTAGCACGCAATGATGGGAGCATGATCTTTGTGCATCTGTAGCTTTCTCACTCATCATTAGTCATGATTCATTCATGATTATCTGTAATCATGGTAGCATCCACATTAATGTAGAAGTGTTCGGAAACATATTTTCTTATTTACAATAAAATTGACTCCAAAATCACCCAATACTTATGATAGCCAGTGGGACAACCACTTATTTTTTTTATGGAGGGGAGGGGGGGTAGAAGGATTACTTTTATACTATTCCAGGTATTCCTTAAAGAGGTAGGGTTTCAAGTGTCTCCGGAAGGTGGTCAGTGACTCCGCTGTCCTGGCGTCGTTGGGGAGCTTGTTCCACCATTGGGGTGCCAGAGCAGCGAATAGCTTTGACTGGGCTGAGCGGGAACTGTGCTTCCGTAGAGGTAGGGGGGCTAGCAGGCCAGAGGTGGATGAACGTAGTGCCCTCATTTGGGTGTAGGGTCTGATCAGAGCCTGAAGGTAAGGAGGTGCCGTTCCCCTTGGGATGGTGTTCTTCGGCTTGCAAGCCCACCCTTTTTCCTCCAAACATAACGATGGTCATTATGGCCAAACAGTTATATTTTTGTTTCATCAGACCAGAGGACATTTATCTAAAAAGTACGATCTTTGTCCCCATGTGCAGTTGCAAACCGTAGTCTGGCTTTTTTATGGTGGTTTTGGAGCAGTGGCTTCTTCCTTGCTGAGCGGTCTTTCAGGTTATGTCGTTATAGGACTCGTTTTACTGTGGATATAGATACTTTTGTACCTTTTTCCTCCAGCATCTTCACAAGGTCCTTTGCTGTTGTTCTGGGATTGATTTGCACTTTTCGCACCAAAGTACGTTCATCTCTAGGAGACAGAATGCGTCTCCTTTCTAGCGGTATGACGGCTGCGTGGTCCCATGGTGTTTATACTTACGTACTATTGTTTGTACAGATGAACGTGGTACCTTCAGGCATTTGGAAATTGCTCCCAAGGATGAACCAGACTTGTGGAGGTCTACAATTTTTTTTCTGAGGTCTTGGCTGATTTCTTTTGATTTTCCCATGATGTCAAGCAAAGAGGCACTGAGTTTGAAGGTAGGCCTTGAAATACATCCACAGGTACACCTCCAATTGACTCAAGTGATGTCAATTAGCCTATCAGAAGCTTCTAAAGCCATAACATCATTTTCTGGAATTTTCCAAGCTGTTTAAAGGCACAGTCAACTTAGTGTATGTAAACTTCTGACCCACTGGAATTGTGATACAGTGAATTATAAGTGAAATAATCTGTCTGTAAACAATTGTTGGAAAAATTACTTGTGTCATGCACAAAGTAGATGTCCTAACCGACTTGCCAAAACTATAGTTTGTTAACAAGAAATGTGTGGAGTGGTTGAAAAACGAGTTTTAATGACTCCAACCTAAGTGTATGTAAACTTCCGACTTCAACTGTATGTATTCACCCCCTTTGCTATAAAGCCCATAAATAAGATCTGGTGCAACCAATTACCTTCAGAAGTCACATAATTAGTTAAATAAAGTCCACCTGTGTGCAATCTAAGTGTCACATGATCTTTCACATGATCTCAGTATATATACACCTGTTTTGAAAGGCCCCACAACTAAGCAAGGGGCACCACCAAGCAAGCGGCACCATGAAGACCAAGGATCTCTCCAAACAAGTCAGGGACAAAGTTGTGGAGAAGTACAGATCAGGGTTGGGTTATAAAAAAATATCAGAAACTTTGAACATCCCACGGAGCACCATTAAATCCATTATAAAAAAATTGAAAGAATATGGCACCACAACAAACCTGCCAAGAGAGGTTCGCCCACCGAAACTCACGGACCAGGCAAGGAGGGCATTAATCAGAGAGGCAACAAAGAGACCAAAGATAACCCTGAAGGAGCTGCAAAGCTCCACAGCAGAGATGAGAGTATCTGTCCAGGACCACTTTAAGTCGTACACTCCACAGAGCTGGGCTTTACGGAAGAGTGGCCAGAAAAAAGCCATTGCTTAAAGAAAAAAATAAGCAAACATGTTTGGTGTTCGCCAAAAGGCATGTGGGAGACTCTCCAAACATATGGAAGAAGGTACTCTGGTCAGATGAAACTAAAATTGAGCTTTTTGGCCATCAAGGAAAATGCTATGTCTGGTGCAAACACAACACCTCTCATCGCCCCGAGAATACCATCCCCACAGTGAAGCATGGTGGTGGCAGCATCATGCTGTGGGGATGTTTTTCATCGGCAGGGACTGGGAAACTGGTCAGAATTGAAGGAATGATGGATGGCGCTAAATACAGGGAAATTCTTGAGGGAAACCTGTTTCAGTCTTCAGAGATTTGAGACTGGAAAGGAGGTTCACCTTCCAGCAGGACAATGACCCTAAGCATACTGCTAAAGCAACACTCGAGTGGTTTAAGGGGAAACATTTAAATGTCTTGGAATGGCCTAGTCAAAGCCCAGACCTCAATCCAATTGAGAATCTGTGGTATGACTTAAAGATTGCTGTACACCAGCGGAACCCATCCAACTTAAAGGAGCTGGAGCAGTTTTGCCTTGAAGAATGGGCAAAAATTCCAGTGGCTAGATGTGCCAAGCTTATAGAGACATACCTCAAGAGACTTGCAGCTATAATTGCTGCAAAAGGTGTTTTTTTGTCTTATTTCTTGTTTGTTTCACAATAAAAAATATTTTGCATCTTCAAAGTGGTAGGCATGTTGTGTAAATCAAATGATACAACCCCCAAAAAAATCTATTTTAATTCCAGGTTATAAGGCAACAAAATAGGAAAAAATGCCAAGGGGGGTGAATAGTTTCGCAAGGCACTGTATAACACAGGACTGTAACCCAAACAAAAGAGCAAGGTGTAAACCTCTAAACAATCCACTGGACGAGACCCGTAATAACAAGAGCACAACACACGGTACTCACGAGACCAACAGACATGAGACAATAATCGACAAGGACAATGGGGAAGAGAGGGCACATACTAATCAGGGAAAATAGGAACCAGGTGTGCGTAATGAGACAAGACAGTCCGGGGTTGGTGGTAATGATCCAGGTCAGTGACGTCTAGAAGACCGGTGACGTAGACCTCCGGAGCTGGTGAACAGAATAAGCAGCAATACCGGGGGATCCGTGACACAAGGAGATGGACTGTGTTCGGTCATGGAACACCATTTTACATTTTAGTCATTTAGCAGACACTCTTATCCAGAGCGACTTACAGTTAGTGAGTGCATACATTTTTCATACTGGCCCCCCATGGGAATCGAACCCACAACCCTGGCGTTGCAAACACCATGCTCTACCAACTGAGCTACACCATCACCATACAGGCGGAATATAGGCAACAGTGATGCTGTCTTGTGGAAGCCTTATGTTCCACATAGGAATTACGATGATTAAGCAAGTAAGTATTCTGTCATCTTATATGAATTCTCATAGCCATGGTTTTGAAACTATTTTATTAAATTTGACAATAACAACAGCATTGCACTCAAACATAGTGAATGGAAAATCGTAACTGAGATTAAGTACAGGATCTAAGGTTAATAAATGTGATCAGCTTTTGCACCTCGATGTTTCAAGTTAAAAATAATTGCAGTCAAGGGTTCTGTGGGGTGCCATAAACCTCAGGCAGCTGAATATGCATACCGCATACGTTTCATATACATTCATTGTAAATATGCTGTGTGAACTTAGCCTATGTCATTAAGGACACATTTACAACAAATGATGATATACACACACACACACAAACACACACACGTGCGCCCATATTCTGCAACAGCAGTGGTGTAAAGTACTTAAGTAAAAATACTTTAAAGTACTACTTAAGTAGTGTTTTGGAGTATATGTACTGTACTATTTATATTTTGGTCAACTTTTACTTTTACTTCACTGCATTCCTAAACAAATAATGTACTTTTTACTACATACATTTTCCCTGATGCTCAAAAGCCTCTGATCTGGCGGAGTCTATAAACACACGCTTCCTCTGTAAATGATGTTGGAGTGTTGGAGTGTGCCCCTGGCTATCAATACATTTTTTAAAAAACAAGAAAATTGTGCTGTCTGGTTTGCTTAATATAAGGAATTTGAAATAATTTATACTTTTACTTTTGATACTTAAGAATATTTTAAACCAAATACTTTTAGACTTTTACTCAAGTAGTATTTTACTGGGTGACTTTCAATTTTACTTGAGTCATTTTCTATTAAGGTATCTTTACTTTTACTCAAGTATGACAAAAAAATAAGACTTTTAGGAGTGAGGCCTACAGCAGCACTCCTACATATATGAGCCTGTGCATTTCCCAGCCGTGCCTCCCTGCTCATGGAGCTAGCGCACTAGGGGAGGCTGCCCAAGCAAGCAGCCCGGTCCAGTTCAGAGGCCTTCTATATCAGCAGAACAAGAAGGGCATCCAGAGGAAGGAGCGCATAGCAGCGCCTGCCGCCATTCCTGCCAGTAGCCCCAGTGCCACCTGCTCTCCTATGCCATCGTATGGGTCTCTCTGGATCAGTATGTGGTGGGTACCTGAGAGAGATGGAGGTTGAGACAGGATGCTGAATATATGGTGTACTACTGTATACAGGAGCATAGGTGAATATACGAGTGTGTTTTATTTGATTTAACCAGGATAGATTTCTCAACAACTGTCTTGGAAAGGATTGCTAGATTCACAATGTTTACTTGCTGACATCAGTCGTTTTCACTAGGCACCAAACGGAAGAAAACGGACTGAAACAGGGAGGGACTACCTGAACTTGTGATAACAAAAAAACGCTAATGTTTGTTTTTCATTGCAAAAAGTTTTGCTAAGGTGTGCACTAATGAATATGACCCAGAGCTCGGGTGTGTTGTCTTCACCTGATCCAGGAGCCAAGTAGATGGTGTTGTGGCCGTCCATTGGGACGGATGGGTAGGAGTCGTCATACGGGTCATACGCAAACTGGAAAGGATAAGAAGATAAGATAAGGCTAGGGATAAAACTAGAATGTCCTCTGAGATTCCCAATAAGCATTGATTATATACTGTATGATATATGGGTATATGGATATGGGATTTATTGATACAGTACTCAGTGGTGCATGTTGTAGAAATTTACTGGGTTACTTACAGGGTTTCGTCTCACCTCTAGAATTGTCAATTTCCATGCTCTGCAAAAAGAGAATGAGAAAATGAGAAAGAGAGGAAGGGAGAATTAGAGAGAGAGTGAGAGAGAAAGAGTGTGTACTGTAAAAGAGAGGGAGAGAGAGAGTGTGTGTATGTGTGTGTGTGTGTGTGAGGGAAAGAGACTCACAGTGCCTCGTCCTCACTGTTGGCACACAGGATCACTGTGGTGCCGTCTCTAAGCTGCACCTCCACCAGGTTTTCCCTGGGGTGGTTCTCTGGGGGAGAGAGACCTGCACAACAACAGAGACAGCTAGGGTTACACACACATACACACTTACACACACATTATTAGGGTGTCCATATTAGGACAGCCTCAGTCTGATCAGGACTTTCGTCAGTCTCAACTGGTGTTGTCAGTCTTATATGGACACCGTACATTTCAATGCTTTATTTGGGTCCACAGCAAAGGCACAAATCTTTTGTAGGTCAGTACAGATATTTGGACTCCTCAGTCCACGTTCTTTCTGTAATAAAGAATACAGCATGTCTCAAGGAGCTCTGGTCAAAACTAGTCCACTATAAGCCTAGGGAATAGGTTGCCATTTCGGACGCATCCATTGTCTGTTGAACACCCCCATCTTTCTATACACTCCCTCCTCACCTGCACACTCCAGGCCAGACTTGACGCTCACACAGCTGGTCTTGAGACCCACGCGGTGCTCAAATTCTCGCCTGCGCTCCGTCTTGTAGAAGGCCAGGCTTCCATCGATCCACAGGTCACACCAATTCAGCTTCCAGCGTTTTAGGATAGAGGCTGACGGAAGTAAGTAAGGAAGAGCGGGGGGGGGGGGGGGGGGGGGGGGGGGGGGGGAGATGGAGTGTGAAGTAGAATATAGTTGGGGTTAGTTTATGATGTCTAGTTTCCTATCGGTCAGGTCGACTTTGACCACTTTGTATCCTTTTATTTAGTTTATCAACATGAACTGAAATCCTTTATCCACAAACTGAAATGCTCTAGCTGTTTCATTTATCCACATTAACTGAAATGCACCCTCAGCCAGACATGATTCTGTCTCAATTCAGCACATCCCCATTTTATTCAATGTTTCTGTAATGGTAGACCTACAGCCATTTTGAGTGTTTTTTATTTATATGGTTGAAGCTCTTAATCTGTTGTTGTTTTTCTCCGGTGGGTGAATCTGCAGTGGTTGGCTTGTGGCCTGTCTGTGTGAGTCACTGATTTGCTAAAATATTAACTAACGCTTATTAGATTATGGCCAGGCTGCACAAGCAGAGTGAGGATTGGAATTTCATAACAGTCGTAACATTCACCTTCTAGAACGATTCTGATCTTATTTTAAAATCCAAATCAATCGATCTTGATGGCATCAATAGAGTCCTCCATTTTGTTTTCAGTGGTATCAGTCTTAAGAACATGGGAGAACAGTTTTTGGAGGAAGTGGCACGGACTGCGGACGGGAGCAAAGATTGCTACAGACCTCTCACACCCACTTAACCTGTCTGTCAAAGTGTTCTATATAGTGCTGATATCACTCTTGTATTAGCGCCCCACACAACATCTTATGCTTTGTTTAGCTGTTGAGGTCTACAATTGGTAAAGATAGTACCTGTAATGGCTAAGGCTGTATCTGAGACCAAAACATGTAGACACTAGGTTAGAGTACAACATGACATTATTCGAGAGACATTGAAGCTACAGTACTCACTCTGTCTCCAGAGCCAGCCTGACTTCAGTAGAGCCATGTGTACGGTCGGTGAGCTGTCCACAACACAATTCCTCACCCCAAATAATATGTTTTTGACAGGAACGTTTGTTCTGTGTATGTTGAGAGTTTGTTCTTGGTTGAGGAGCTGTCTGCAGAGAGACAGAGAGACGTACGGTGCCTTTATTTTGATTCTGGCCCACACGTCTAATCTGAGAGCGCGAGGCGGAGACGGGGGCTAAACTAGATAATTTGGGATTAGGGGGCCTGGATTGGCCACACCTTTTCTCCTGACTCATCTACTTCTTCCCTCTCGGGCTGGAATGTTCTCACTTCCTGTCTCCTCCTCCTCCACCTCCTCTTCTTCCTCCTCTATTTACTCTGCTTTGCCTCTATTTATATTTTGTGTGTCATCTCATCTGCCTTTAGGAACTGGGGTTATTGGACTACTGCATATGTTGATAGTGTGTAGTGAAAAAGGCATAACACACTTAATCCCTTAATCCCTGCATTAAAATAACCCATTAATTAGATAACTGTTACAGTTTCTTTGGGTCACAGGTGAGAACCTTTTTTCCTTAAGCCCCCATTACTAGCCAAATAATGGTCATTCTGCATAAAACAATTTTCTAGACCGGCCCACTGGGCTAAAGTTGGACCAGCCCATCTGGCAGTTTCCCAAACTGCCCTATGGCCAGTCCGATTCTGCTTCCTGTTTTAGCTTAGGTGCACCTGTGACCTGAGTATTCTTGAGTCACTGTTGTAATATCATTATGAAAGCTGCCCAAGTACTTTCATAAGCACAAATGTTGGTCTGCTGAGAAAGAAGTCATGATGCCAATTATATGACTTGAACCCAGTAGAAATGCTAAGGTGTATCAGATTGATTCACTAGCGAATCACCTTGGCTCTATTTTAAACCTTACTAAAAGACTGTCTATTCCCTCCAAGTGAGCCAATCCCATGGAGGTATAATGATGACCTCATGTCTGTTGCCTGTATCATAGACACTGCCTCAGGTTGATATAGAGGGTTTGAGTTTGAGAATATTAGAATGATCTGGATATAGCCAATTAGGCTAGATTTCTTTACAGGGTCAGTGAAACAATATCAATAACTGTATTTATAGAAGTATATATACATTAGCTATTTATATATGCATTATTACTAATCACACTGTAATAATTGACAATGAAAGCATCTATAACATGGTCCATCCCTGCCATGGCGGAACAGGGGATTTTTGGGAAGTTGAAGCTCTTTTACTGCAAATAATTTTCTGGAAGTTGAAGCTCATTCTTTGCATTTCTACACTATTTAAAAACTCTAAAATGCTATTTGGAGAACAGCAAAAACAAGCAAAAGGTACCTTAGCCATTAATTATGTAAGGGATAATCAACAAGGGGCTATGTGTTCTCTTGAATGTAATGAATGACAGGGAAGGTGTGTCCCACAACGCGCTAGCGGATTGGTTAAAACAGCATGCCAGCCGATGTCTATTCCACAAGTTACCACCGGCTAAATATTTTACATTTACATTTTAGCCATTTAGCAGACGCTCTTATCCAGAGCGACTTACAGTTAGTGAGTGCATACATTTTTCATACTGGCCCCCCGTGGGAATCTATGACGTTAAAATGCCTATTTACTCTGTTCCATCTAACTGCGCAATCCACTGTCTCATCAGCCCAGCCAAGCAATTTAGAAACTTGATCTCCACTATAAAAAGCATTAAGACATTATCTCACATTTCTTTTAGACTAACATTTAGTTTTCAACAGCGTAGATTTGTATAAACCTTGCTGTCTGTCTCGCCGACATTTGCAACATTGTTTCAATATTCAAATTCGATCTCAAGTTGTCATATAGTAATGAAGGTGTCGGGTTGAGACAGACAGGCAGGCAGCGTTTCTCAGCCAGTTGAAATCATGAATCAGCTGGCATCATTTTATGGATATATTCAAAGAAATGCCAATTGAAAAAGGTCAAACGAAACGAAGAGCAGCTAGTTTGCAGTCTTTCCAGCTTCAGTTTGAATTGATTGTGTTAGCTGTGTTGTTGGCTAGATCCTCTGAACAACAGTGTCCTGACGAGTGAGCACATTTTCTATGCCAGGCGAAATTGTTATGGATGTTCGAAATAAATGTCACTAGAAAACATCTTAAACAAATGCAAGTGCAGCTACTTTGCTTTTACTCTGGTTGCACTTCTTGACGTGCCTGTAAGTTAGCCGTAGTTGGCTAGCTAGCAAGCAAGAGATAAGAATGTTGCCAGCCAGTATGGCAATGGAACATTTAGAACGAACGACTGGGTCGCATCCATAGATACAGAACAAAAAGACTGAACGACTGGGTAGCGTCTCTGGCAACCGAACCGATAGAACGAACGATCAGCCGGCTTAGGTAATCATAGATTTGTGTCGGGACTATATCTTGTGGAAGGATGAAATAGTATGAATAAATTAATCAAAATAACGTTTTTAATGAAAATATGTCAATAATAATGATTTGAATATGTTGGTGACCCCTTGTATAAAAGTGATAATGCCCTCGAAGCCAGTGTTTGGAGGATATATTGGCACGGTTTGCCGGCCCTTGATCCCTGCCAATATATCTTCCAAACACTGGCTTCAAGGGCATTATCACTTACATAATGCACGCTCTAGAATGCGTTCAAGCCAATCAGAAACGAGTATTCAACAATGTCATGGTACTGTATATATAACGCAGCAATATTAGGTTTAAAGGTCTGTGGAACGGCATATACAATGTCAACCAATACTCAACCTCATCATAAATTGACTAATTTACTTGTGGAACCAGTGCAACGTGAAATATACTGAACAAAAATATAAACGCAACATGCAACAATTTCATTGATTTTACTGAATTACAGTTCATATGAAGAAATCAGTCAATTGAAATAAATTCATTAGGCCCTAATCTATGGATTTCACATTACTGGGAATACAGATATGCATCTGTTGGTCACAAATACCTTTTTTAAAAATGGGCCTCACAATGGGCCTCAGGAGCTCGTCACGATATTTTTGTGCATTCAAATTGCCATCAATAAAATGCAATTGTGTTCGTTGTCTGTAGCTTATACCTCCCCATACCATAACCCTACCGCCACCATGGGGCACTCTGTCCACAATGTTGTCATCAGCAAACCGCTCGCCCACACAACGCAAACACATGGTCTGCGGTTGTGAGGCCGGTTGGACATATTGCCAAATTCTCTAAAATGACATTGGAGCGGCTTATGCTAGAGAAATGAACATTCCATTTTCTGGCAACAGCTCTGGTGGACATTCCTGCAGTCCGCATGCCAATTGCACGCTCCCTCAAAACTTAAGACATCTGTGGCATTGTGTTGTGTGACAAAACTGCTCATTTTAGAGTGGCCTTTTATTGTCCCCAGCACAAGGTGCACCTGTGTCATGATCATGCTGTTTAATCAGCTAATTGATATGCCACACCTGTCAGGTGGATGTATTATCTTGGCACAGGAGAAATGCTCACTAAAAGGGATGTAAACAAATTTGTGCACAACATTTGAGAGTAATAAGCTTTTTGTCCGTATGGAAAATGTATAGGATATTTTATTTCAGCTCATGAAACATGAGACCAACACTTAACATGTTGCGTTTATATATTTTTTTCAGTGTAGATGCATAATACCGTTATCAAGTCACAACAAGGCCGACTTCAAATGCCGACATCCATTGGCGCGGCGCTTGAGTTTGGGAAGCAATTTTTTCACTATAGAATTGCATCTTTATAATAAAGGATTGCATGCATCTATCATCGCATTAGTAGACTAATGTAAGATAGGCTACTATTCCTAATGTGATGAGTAGATCGCATAGTCATAATTTAGGCTAATAATATAACTCGATCACTCTCCGCTGGTGCCAATAAAATAGGCTACTGTTCGCTCAATTGGGATTGATAACTAGAGACAGATCACAGTATTTTCTTTGTCTTCTCTTTTCAGTAATAGCCATTTGCTTTCTAAACTTTGTTTTTCCTACAATTGTATTTTGAAATATTGCAATAGGTCTATTTAACTGCCTTTCACTGACCGCTGCAACTCAACAATCAGCTATTTTGTAGGCTATTTGCTGCACACACTGCCCAAATTGCGCGCTTAAAACAATCTAAAGCAAAAAAAAATCAGAAGCTAATGATCCTCTGTGGCCAAATCATGCTCTCTGGTCTAGTATTTTGAATTATATAGCTAATTTTGCAATGGTATAGCTAATTTTGGTAAATATAATACAATTTGCTTTAGGGGAAGCTTATCTATTGGATGCAGTGCCTATGCCGACATCAATGTGAAAGTAACCGGTGCATAAAACAGCTGGCTGAGTTCAAATTCAAAGCAATAAATGGCTGACCAGCAAAGCAAACTGTCTGGCACTGTCTCTGAGCTCTGCTTTCTTAAAGTGAGCAAAAGGGGCGAAGGCTGGCAGCTTCTCTCCGAGCGATGCTCCACAAGGTCCTAAATTAGCCGTAGCATTTTAATCGGGATTGGAATGATTTTAGGCTACATTTTTGGTCTTAAGCTAGGGTATGGCAGCATACCCTGCCAAACCAAACTGAAGCCCCTGTCTCAGGGTTTGACCTTCAACAGGACTCTATTTATCCTCTCTGTACACTCCGTGGCCACTAGATGGCCCTATTCCTACCTCTATCAGTATCACACATATTGGATTGTAGATCATGGTCAGCAAAGTCAGCAGTGACCACTGAGTTCCATGACATGACATGAAATGACATAACATAACATGACAGTCCCTCAACATTCACCATAGCCCAGCAAATGCATTTATCTACTAGTGTGTTCTGTAGGATATTGTAGGATACTGGGACTAGTACTCAATCGGAGGTCAATGGTACTAGATGGTGGTGTCAGTAGCCCCATGTTTAGAGTGTACGTGTTTTTAGACACAGCCCACCAACTTCCTGTCCTGTTAAGATAACAGGCCTTCTTTAACCCAATCCACTGGCCTGCCCTGCCTGAAATAACATTGACTTCTAGCTGTTTGAAAAGCCCTCTGTCAAAAGGGGCTACATAACGCATATCATATGTCAATAACATTCATGACAGCTAGTGTCTTGACAATTATCTCAACAATCATGATGAGACAAACCAATGTGTGGTTCAGCTAATTTGCTTGGTAAAACACCAGCCAACTTGCAAAATAACTATGTGACATTATGCCACATC